GCTACCTAAAATGAGGGGGCAATAAAGACTCAAAGTGACTGGCTTACAAGGTTTCAAGAAGGAATTTAGTTTAAGAGTGTGTGGGGAAAGAAAGAGTCCCCACTGAATAGTTTTCATCTTGTCTAGCTGGGTCTGGTGAAAAGAAATGGGACTACGATTCTTATGATTCAATAATGAGTAATTGTTATCACAACTAATTGCAACTGCCACAATTGTAAAGGTAGAAGTTTTGTAACAAAAATGAGGGAGTAGTGGATCTTACAGTCCAAAAACAGAGGACCCTCGAACCATCAAGGGAGAAGAGCAAAAAGCAGAATACAAGACCTTATCCAGAGAAGCAGCAACACCAGAGATGGAGACATGGAAAGAGGCAGCAGCTGAAGACTCTAGATACATGGACTAAGAAGAGAAGGACTAAGAGCTGGTGGCCAGGAACAGACTTGCAGAATGTACCCTTTGGTGGCGTAAATTATTACATATGCCTGAGTGTTTAAGAGCTAAAGTGATTAGAGAAAAATACTGTTATCTGATGATACATAGAGGGGATTAGAATCATTCTAATGATACAAGGTATATGATTTGTTCAACGTAAAACTGATGATCTGCCCTGTAAACTTTCACTCAATTCACAATTAAAACGTAAGAAAGAAAATAAAATCTTTCATGGTCTCATGTATTTTTGTGTGCTTTAATTTTGAAAATACATATTTTTTTAATTTTAAGTATTTTTTTTCCGTGTTCTCAGAAGAGTACGGATGCTTAATTTGCTCTACCCTGAGTTGTCACTGTGAGGTTTTGCTTGGGGTGTGTGTGTGTGGCCTGTCTCTTTTTTATAAGTAAGGTTTAATTGTTGTATGAGCAAGAATAAGGTGGTGAAGTGGTAGTTTCAGGCAAACTTTTGAAACCAGGCCCTTGCTTTTTCAGCTGATTTTTAAGTTACCAATTCTTTATAAATGATACCATCCATATCGTTTATCTGTATCACTTCTTCCTAGCCAGTGTCCACAGATCCAAACACCAGTCAAGTCAGGGCTCGTAAGTACTTCTGACCAATGATAAATACGTCATCTCTTCCCTAAACTTAGGACTAACATATTCAAAAGCTTATCGCAACTTCAACCTGTGTAAAATTACATCGCATCCCTGCTAAAAATTTTCACTAACTTCCAATGTCTTCAGGGTAAGAATCAGAATACCTTACATGTAAAAGCCTTTTAAGAGAACTCCAACCTCTGTTATCACCTGCCCAGCCCCAATCATAACCTTGTTGTTGTTACATCAAGTCAGTTCCAACTCATAGCTACTCCGTATAGGGTTTACGAGAAGCAGCTAGTGGGCTTGAACCACTAATCTTGCAATGAGCAGTCCAGTGCTGACCCTATAGCACCATACCAGGACTTCTCTTATACTCTCCAAAATAATAAACCCGTACAGCAGTTCCCCCAATATATCATACACAGCAATGCCTTCATTGCTTATCTTGCTTCTTCAACAGGACCCTGGGCTAGTTCATATTGGGTTTTAATAAGAGTGACACAATTTGTTTCATAGTTTGCATGGAAGATGGGGTGCCAAGGCAGTGGAAGCAAAGAGAACAGTTAGAAGGCTACTACAATAATCCAGGCACGAGAGAAGCAGTGCAATGAATGACTTCAGACGGCTCTTCTACCCCATAGTCTGTAACGCCCATCAAATGACTCTTTTCCCTGACGGGACTACAAAAGAGAAGGTGGAGGAAGATGCTAATAGTATTACATGATCCAGTTGTGAGTGATTGTTAAGACTTATTTGTGGTATACTCCATAATCCTGAGTATTGGCTCTTGAGTTCTGTAAACGAATTATCATTGTAAAAGAATTATCAAGCCCAGCAGAGACACAGAGAGTGCTGTGAGAGATGGCTGGTGTCAGATCAACTTGAGCCAATGTGATAGCAGTGTTGCTGTTATGTGCCGTGGAGTCAGTTCTTACTCATAGGATCCTGTACAGGGTTTCCGAGGCTGTAAATCTTTACAGGAGCAGAAAGCCTCATCTTTCTCCCACGGAACAGCTGGTAGTTTCGAACTGCTGACCTTGTGGTTCACAGCCCGATTAGTAACAACTATGTTGTTGTTGTTGTTGAGTGCTGTCGAGTCGATTCCGAACCATAGCAACCCTATATAGGGTTTTCCGAGGAGCAGCTGGTGAGCTTGAACTGCCGACCTTGCAGTTCAAACGGCTTTGCAGTCTGGTGCATTAACCCACAGCGCCACACCAGGACTCTAATCACTATGTAGAGGTGGTGAAATGTAAAATCCTGAATATATTAAGATTTGCTGGATAAACCTTTCAGGACCCTCCCCTACTTAATTTTTAATGGAATATGAACCAGGAAGACACTCTGTTGCAAAAGTTCAAACAATCAGAATATAGAATAAATGAGTGAAAAGTCTCATTCACATTCCTTCTCCACTCTTCCCCAGAAATAACTATTTTGTAACAATATAAACTATGTATTTGTCTGATTTTTCTACATATAACATGGGGATAATAGAAATTTGCATTATGAGGAATTTGTGAGGAATAAACAAATACATAAAACCCTTAGAACAATAGTCCCATTAACATAATTAAGCGTAACACAAAATACATACTTAGGGTAAAAATCTATTTGGAAGAATTCAACAGCCAAACTGCTCATTAAAAGCAAAGATGGTGAGACTTCCCATCATGTTCTTTGGACATGCAATAAGAAGTGACCAGCCTTTTTACAAAGATGGCGTCAAAAGCAAAGAAGGAAGCCCTTGTCCTTCCCAAAGCTGAAGCCAAAGCAAAGGCATTGAAAAAGGCCAAGAAAGCAGTGCTGAAAGGTGTCCACAGCCACATAAAAAAACAAGATCTGCATGTCATCCAGCTTCCGGCAGCATAAGACTCAGAGGCAGCCCAAATATCCTCGGAAGAGCACCTGCAGGAAAAACAAGCTTGACCACTATGCCATCATCAAGTTCCCTCTGACTACTGAGTCAGCCATCAAGAAGACTGAAGATAATAACGCCCTTGTGTTCACTGTGGATGTCAAGGCCAACAAGCACCAGATCAAACAGGCTGTGACGAGGCTCTATGACATTGACGTAGCCAACGTCAACACCTTCATCAGGCCTG